AGACTGGTCGTTTTAACGACGTCGTGGATTTGCGGTTGCAACGGCACGACGATGCCGGCAGTGGTGGCGGCGGCGGCGAGCCGGGGACGGGTGAAAGGGTGGTATGGTCGTTTTACCACGCTCGTATAACGAATTATAAGGCGGACATCGCGATCGAACGACCACGGGAATCTGCCCGACACCGGAATAATCTTACGGCTATATAACGCCGGTTTCCCGAAGCCGTGATACCGTCGTTTCGGAAAATCGCTTGTGCGGCACCGCGCAGTATCGCGCGCTGCCGCATTACCTTTAACTCGCTATGCACGGCGGAGGAAATGAGACAAGAAGCAGCCGAGTGTCGCGTTACTTCTATATACGAGTATGAGCGTTGACTCTTAGTGAGCCTGAAAAGTTAACGAGAGAGAGAGAGAGAGAGAGATTATTTAATCGTTAATTAATTGACAACCGTGCAAACATGTTCAGAGATCCTCGTTATTCGTCGCGACGGTTAGACGCGTTTTCGCGTTAGGTTATCTCGCGAGGAAATATTAATACACACCTCGTCGTTATCGTTCTATTTCTTTAAAATATCCAAGAAAAAGTTGGGATATACTTTAGACCGAATTTACATTCCGTCGAATCCACCTCGATAACGGATTTCGAGAACCGGGTACTTGCCCGACTTAATTTTAATTACGAACACGGGTATTGTTAAAGGTCATTTAGCGTAATTAAAAGTAATTAAAGTACGCCGGATGCGTCCGGAACGGGTTGGCTGCGTCGGCGCGAAAGAAAAAGAGAGGGAGGGATTTTTATCCTCCCGGTTCTCCCTCTTCTTTCTGCCCCTCGGCGGAGAGTCAAAGATTTTAAGCCCGGCGGAGTGTAAATAAAGTTCGATAGCGGATGAGCAATGAAATTGTAGACGACGAGTGCGCAAATACATAAAACACACGTACGTACAATATCATCCGTGCGATATACGCGAGGTGCGCAAACACACCGTCTCCTCGTTTCTTCGACGGGATTCAATATTTGTCCCTCCCGATGAAAGTGTATTATCGCGTATCAATCAAGAAGAACAAATGTTTGCCGAGAGGCGGAAGCTTCGACTTCGACTGGTCTGTAACGACGACGACGACGGTGACGAGAGGACGGCGAAAGACACTTTGTTCCGCACTTCGGGAATCACAACCGGTGGCGACGGTGGGGAATTAATTATCAGGCGATTAAATATCCGCCGGTTCAAAACTTTGATTCGTGATGACTATGATCGAGCGTTTGATATGAAAACACACGAAGCGCTCCCCTTTTGTGTCGACACACGGTCGATTAATCACTGCGCGCAGTTCATGTTACATCTCGCGAAACGTGTCGTTTAAATTGCATCGTGTTGCACTGGTGCAAAATGCAAGCGTTACGTGAGTCGAATTTTCTCGTCACTCTCTCCTTCCTTCTCTCTCTTCCTCTCTCTCTCTCTCTCTCTCTCTCTTTTTTTCATTCTCTTTCTTTCTCTATATAGGATGTTACGGGAATACTCGAATAAGCTGCCCGAGCGTATTCCGCGATCAGTTCGCTAGTCGAAGTTTCCACCGGCAGAAATTCCGTTGAATGTCGTTCCCCTTTTTCGCGACTCTCCGATTTTCGCGACTGAGTACAGGCGACAATTCAGTTTCGACTGGGAATCATGTTGAGGAATACAGTTTATTACGGAATTAATAAAGAAATAAGATTTAGTCGGAGTTGCACTCGGTCTTAAAATTGATTTGACCCGCGGTAGTATCTTTTATTTTCAATCTTTCTCTCTCTCTGTCTCTGATAGTTCACAACAATACGCAATATTTTCGCTACGCACGTACGCGGAAAAAATGAATATCAATTCGAGACTCTTATTTTCTACGCAGTCAAATATTTTGTGTTAAAACGGTCTATTGAAATTTTATGTTATTTTAACGTGGGAAATGTATTAAAAAGTAAACAGATAAAATGTTAAATTAATACATGTGCACGTATATTTTAATACGCTCCTCATGTGAAAGTAACACAAAATTTCGGTGTATCGTTTTTAACTCAAAATTCTCGACTGTATAATATATAGCAGATTATATAATAATCTTATATGAAGATAGAACTTGCTCCTACGTGAAAAAATTGTATGTAGTTCTACTGAGAGAATATATTCATTATTCAAGAATAATTTTCAGGAACTGAGAGGAAAAAATTTTAGATAGAAAAAACGATATCTTCAGACTTAGAATTATATCAGTTTGTATAAATATCGTTTTTCATATCGAGCATTTTTTCTTCTAAATTCATAGAAATGATTCCTGATTAACAAAAATATAATATTTTTAGTACAACACTCTATATAGAATTTCTTCATGTAAGAGCAAGTTTTTTTTATCTTCATATAAGATATTCTTGCTAACATAAAAATTCTTGCTTACGTAAAAATATGAGTCTTGAAATTGATACTAAGTTTTTTCCGTGTACACCACGTGACTTTCGATCGAAGACCGCGCCTCGCAAAAGTCGCGCTCCGAGCGCTTTGGAAACATACCATACACGCTAGGCTAATATGCCGAAATTGTCAGCGCCATCCTTCGCCTATTTCTACGCAGACTTCAATTTTGAATTTTGCGAGGATAGACGGAGTGGCAAATCGGATTTCCCGAATTGTCGTGATCTCCGCTTCTCTCCTGGCGAGAAGCATCGGAAACCGGTTCGGAATGGCTGGGTACACGCGGTCGATAAATAGTCAGACGAGGACGTGCGAGTGTCGTTGAAAGATTCGCGACTCGCGAGGTGATGCGATAGATTTGTCTGCCGTTGTTACAGTCGTTTCGGGACAACGCGCACTTTCGTGCATCGCTCGCTCGCGCCTCTCCCTCGCCCTTCCCTTTCCTCTCTCTTTCGTCATGATTTTTGTAGCGACCGAGGGACGTGTTTCAATTACGCCGATAAAAAGCCGGAGATTCGCCTGGACGAAAAATCGTCGCGTCGTCGTTGAAAAAATATCGGCAGCCGGGTATCCGCGTGCCGTAAGACAACGTTTCGGCCAACGGTCCGGTAATAGTACGTCCGTATCTACTGCACGCGCTCTCTCAGCGTGCGACGGAACCTGTCGATTCCGCGTCGCGCGGAAATAACGCGGACGCTTTATAATTACAACGTCGAATGGCTCGAATCGTCCGTCTCTTTTGTTCATGTGGAGGCTCGGTAATATCTTCGATTTTAACTCTCACATGTACGTGTGCGCACCGTACTCGCGCGTCTCCAAAAACAGATCGATTTTCGCGTCGTGTCGACTAACGCGAATACTATTTTAGGCGGTAACTAGCTGCCGGCAAATTGGCGCAACTCAGCCTCGCGCTCCATTCGGACGTTATTGCAGCGAGTTAAGCGTGTGTCAACCGACTGCTGAAAAGTTTCCTCAAACAGTCCCTGCCCCCTTTCCCGGTGAGGGAGCAAATATTGGGACACGTCTTTCTGTACGCAATGCGACGATATCGTTGCTGCACTACTCGCGCACTTTTATCAGTGTTTACGAAGTTTAATTACTAACCTGTTCTCTCGCGAAGCGCAGATATACAGGGCAAACTTAAATTAGCATGCATACGAGGGCTTTGACACCGAGGCACAGTAGAATTAATATTCACAGCAAGGGTAGTGAAATCCGAATCAGGACGCAATCACGGCGACTGAATAGCGGCGCGAGATATAGTGTTAATTATGTGCCAAATAAATTAGCAACTTGTTGATCGTCATTAATACTGGATAAACCTGGTCAAACATTCGCCGACCCTCTTGCGATGCCCCCGGATACTTATAAGCCCCAAATAATGGCGCGTGTAACGACGCTCGTCCCGTATCGATCTCAAATGGATCACACGCAGATTTAATGCCAATCATCCTAATCGGCATTATATACATCGCGAATGCGAATCACGTTTTAACGTACAACGTATGTGTGTATGTGTGTGTGTGCGTGAGTTGTAACCTGCGGCGCGTTGTTGTTACAGTCAATGCGACTGTGGAAAGTCAAAGTTCGAAACGTTGCGAAGCGGCGAGGAACGATGGAGAAGTCACGACGGGACGAGAGACGCGCGAACGTTATTTGAATAGAAACGCGACGTACATCCTGATATTGAAATTTTGTGAGTCAAAGATAATTGTGCGCACAGTAAATCGAAACATTCAAACGTAATGATAAAAATCCAATGAAAAATGTAATACTGTAGGCTCTCTCTCTCTCTCTCTTTCTCTCTCTCTCTATATATATATATATATATATAAATTTTTCCATGGTTTCGTTGAGTAAATTTTCATATTAATTTTTGACAAATTGGGCTCGCATAAAACGCAATGAAACGTTTTATCAGTGGTAACATCAGTTTGCAGTGGCAAAGTAATTCAGCTGTGACGTAATGCAGTCGGAGCAGAATTAGAATTTTGGCGGGAAACAATGGCAAAAATATAAAATACGAGTCCGGTTTATTACNCTCCCTCCCTCCCTCTCTCTCATTTTCATTTACGGCATCCTGTTTATATGAAGGCACGGCTTTATGCCCCACGAGATTCGTTCGTTATCTCCGCGAGATTTTTCATGAGCCTATCTCGACGGTGAGAGAGAGAGAAACTCATATTCCTCTAATAATCTATTATATTTGTTAATAATGCGACACACACACACACACACACACAAAATCATCGCGAAGTAAGTTGATGACAGTGAAGAATTATAGCAATGTTATAGCAAGTCAGTACCAATTATATGAAACGCGACGTTAGTTAATCCCTTATTAATAGGCGATTCATTAATCATTCGCCCGTGCGTTTATAAAATTTATTTATTGCAGGCGAAATTACGTGGGAACGATGTTATCTTGGTGCCACACGAGAGTAATCTTTATTAATAGAATACATCGAACGTACAAATACATGATTTACGCGCGTTCGACGCTATCGAAGTAAATATGACGTCGATAATTTTGTGCCACGCCAAAAGGACAGATTTCCGCTATGGTTTGTACACGCGATGTGTATACAATATAATTTAAATGTCATCTCTCTTGGCTGCGCCACACGCTCTTCCATGTCGTCGTTAACAATAATATCAAATGAACGAATGTGATCGGTGTTATATGCTCATAGATGACATCCATTATATGTCTTCGTATTCTGTTACTACACTTTGTACATCCAGCCCCGTCGTGGTCGGCTCGCTTATATCACATCTCGCTTACGAAACTCCGGCGTATTGTTGCACTATCCTATTCCACTCCTTCGGGAAGGATCGCTGAATGTGAGAAAGGACCTTCTTGATCTGACGTGTCTCCTCGTTGCTGCATTGCGGGCAGGAGCCTCTCAGAACCAGCGGCGCTAAACCTGGATAAAATAACGACGTGGAATAGTAGCGGCCGTATTTTCGGCTGGGTTTTATGTAGTGCGTAAAGTTCTCGTGCGCACGACTCTCCTCGAGACTCATGTATAATATTATCGCGGCTATATAATGGTACGTCCGACGTTTAACATTTCCGCGAGTATATTCGGTACCCTTCATAACTCCGTTGATCCGACGTTGATTCCCATTCTTTATAGGGCAATAGTGCGCGGTACGGAAATAAAGACCGATAAACGGAGAGTTTCGCGTAAAAACGAAATCGAACGATTAACACGTTCCGTGCCGGACTAATTTCACGTGACTTCTCACGCACCGGTAATTGTTTTGTTATGATCTAAATTTTATTTTTCAAATAACATGTGTTTCGTAATAATTATCAAAATATTTCAAGATTATATTTCATTTCGTAGCTAAAATATCAAGTTTGTCTGAACGGAATTGAATCGAATCTGAACGGAAAATTCGGCGAAAACCACCGATGGTAGGCATTCCTTACCATTTTTTAAATCGAGAATTGTGCGATTTTTAGTCTTACAGATACAGAGTGTTACATGACGTACTGTACAAATTTAAAGAGCATTTCGGATGTAAACTGAAGTATAAACGTGGGTCTAATTCGAAACGGTTATCTATTTATAAGTGTTTAAAGTTTATAAATGATACTATATTTTTTTGGAACATTTTTCCATTAAAAATAACAAATAAGAAAAGCATAAAGATTATAGAAACTGTTCAAATTAACGTCCTTCGGCATTAATACACAATATGATTTAAAATTGAATTGAATTTAAAATTGAACATGTTTAAGTTTAAACAATATGTTATAACACAATATGATTTAAAATTGAATTGAATTTAAAATTGAACATCATGATTCTTATTTATTCACATGCGTAATTAACACGCTGTATTGATTCTGTTTGAGTATTGACTTTCCTTTCATATACTAAACACTTAATCTTTACATTTTCCTTTTTATTTTTTATTTCTAATAAAAATATTTCCAAAAAATTATGCTATACACTTTAAACATTTGTATAACCGTTTCGAATTCGATTCATATTTACATGATATTTCTTATTTACATCAGAAACATGCTTCTTAAGTTTAAACAATATGTTATAACACTCTGTATATGCTCAAAGTTGAAATCATAACTACACGAAAGAAAAGAATTTGGTTGAATGTACCTATGGACAAATAAAACGCGTTTAGTTCTCAATTTGTCCATTATCAGATAGATTCAATTAAATTCTTCTTCCTGCATAATGTCGTTACAATCCAATCATTATAATTAGAATTATTTGTTTCTCAACCTAATATATATATGTATACGTATATGAATATATTAAAAATTGTCAGCTCTTGATCTAGGAAATGGTAAGACATATTTTGAAAGAAGAAAATATCCAAAAAATAAAAGATATTTATTCGATGGGTACTAATGACATATTTAAATTTCAATTTTTACGTGTTCAAATAGAACGAACAATTGCATTCATGAAAAGCTACGGTTTAAAAGAAATATATATATTTTCTTATTTGAAAAAAATATTTCTTCAATGAAAAAATATGTATATTAGTATAAATAAATATGTTACAAATATCCACCGAATAAATGTTTCTTCTCTCAGTGTGTATATAAACACAACGTATACACGCGACACGGAATGTGTTAAATGAGCGTTCGCTCGTACAATATCTACTCGGATGGCGAACGACAATTGATTCGGATATTAATTCATAAAAATCTCGCGAAGAAATCCCTTACGTTACCTAGCGCTTCATTCTCGCGATTTGGTTCGCGATAAAAATCGATCGACTTTCGACGCGAGTTCGTTGACTCGCCCAGCCAAAGAGGATTAGAATCTTATTTTAAGTCTGGTTCTCGCGGAATAAATCATGGGAGAGAAGAACGCGCGATATCGACTTATACGACGGTTGGATCCGTCGGAGGGCGTACTTTTCAGACGACGTCCGACCGGGTCACACGGCGCTTCTCCTAGGGCGCACTTGAGCTGTCTGGTCAAGTAACGTTTGTCGCTCAGGGCCATGTTCAGTTGTTCGTCAGAGATGCGCGATCTGCCGGTCTGTCCCTCGTCGGGCTCGGCCGGCATCGTCGCGGCGAGCACCGCGCAGACTAGAATGAGGAGCAGAACCTGCAACACGATTGTACGTATGTATGCAAATGCGCAGACCGTAATAATAGCCGGGCACCGCCGATTATTAGCGAACGCGGTCGCGGCCGCTGCAGCGGCGAATTGCGGTTTTCTCAGCGAATTCACGCGCGAGCGCGCGATGAGAGGATGCTCGTAATGGTAGATCCTCGGACCTTATTGTTCCATCGCAGCATTCCCTTCCGTAAGGACGAAGAGCGTGTGGGTCGGCTGCGTGTATAAAGAAGGGCTTGCAGGCGAGAAGTGCAGGAGGGAGGGCTTTTTTACGCGATCCCGACAAACCACGCGCGCGGAGCGTGCTAAACTTATTAATTATGGAAGTCGCTGTGCGATACCGTCGACGACGCTGCTTAACGTGATTATACCATCTGCAAGTATTACGGTAAATGGGTTCCTCGTGCGGTCACGGAAACAACGACGACGACGACGACTACGACAACACCGTAGTCGTCGTCGTCGTTGCTGCATCGAGCGTGTGCGCGCACGCGCACGTGTAGATAGATACTGCATCAAGTGAAATTAGCTGCGCGGCCATCCGACAATAAGGGCGGAAGCACGTCTGTCATGCGGTAACGAAAGCGGATAAGGAAGGGCTAGCCTGCGGGCGGCCCGACTAGGCACGCCAAAGCTAACATAGCTAAACAAGCAGCAACCACGCAGTGCTATACTACGACGGCGGTATGCGAGTGGCTCCAATCTCTGTTTGCTGGCTGGTTCTCCTCCTCCCCCCCCCTCTCCCGACCGAATCCCCGTGTCCTCGTCCTTTTCTCCCCATGTACCCGCCGCGACACGCTTGCATCTCGTTGCACCGCCGCACACATCGTCACCGTCGTAGCGGCTTAACTAAAGGTCGCCGCTTTTATATTACCCCCGCGTCGTCTCGTCCTCCCGGGCGCGACATCTCGCGGTTTCCGTTTTTTAATAAGCTCGCACGTGCTCGCGGAGAACGCCTCTAATTTGGAGAATGAATTTTCTCTTTGTCGCGGAATATTCTGACAGAACGCGCGTGTCGTCCGGGGCCCATCGCGTCCGTCTTGTCAGGCAAGCTCTTGCGTCTCGGAACATTGGCGACCAATTGCCAATTGCGATCGTCCCTCTCGATGGCAGTTCGTGTTGCTGGGTAAACGATTTGTGGACCGCTCGTCTCAGCGATTCCCCGCAGGTCTGATCGATCACCGGCGATTCAGAGAATTTAACCCTGACAGTAACATGTAGGCTCATGAGGCATATACGCGTTTTCTTTTCGTTTATCATCTTTTTCACGTTTTGTGCAAGACCCTTATTCATTTATTATTCGTATAGGAACCTCGCGAACTCGAAAATTCAAATTTTAATTAAATTTGGCGTACATATAGATTGGGTAAATATATGAACTTAGAATTTCTCGGTTGAAATGAAAGACGGAAGGGATAAAACCACTTTCCTAAGGTACAAATGCTCTCGCTTTTTTAAATTATTTTATAAACTAAACAAAAATAAATTAAATGTAATATCAAGAGACGTTTCATACAAAATTATTTTTATTTAACTACGCCATTCAGTTTAGAAGAAAAATTTATTTTCAGAAGTTTATCCTTTGTATCCTCAAATATAAAAGAGTAGGATAAATTTAGTTACCGGAGATAATTGGTTACAGAAGTAAGTTTACATCGCTTATATCTCGGCTATTTTCTAACAAATTACGGAATCAAGTAAAAAGGAAATGCAAAACCATCTTTGACATATATGACGTAAATTGCATTTTATTATGGCAATAGTTATGAAATGATAAGGTTAAACTGTATTTTTAGCAGTAGAAGTAAAATATCATAATTTCATAAATTCATTTATATTATTGATAAATATAGAATTTTATGTTAGTTCTTATCGCAGTTAGAAAATATATTTAATCGATTACATTTTGACAAAATTTTCGACAAAATAAATTTATATCATGTTTTATGTATATAACCCGAAAAAACTTAATTGACTTTGAGGTAAATTGGCATGAAAGGAATATTAATATTTTTCATAAATATATTAGTATCGAGAAATATTTGACGTACATTTTCCCATTTATTTAATACATACAGAAATGACGTTTCAACAGCACTAGTCTAAATTAGATGAATTTTGTTATTACACAATAGCAGTATTAATTAAATAAATATGCCNAAAAAAAAAAAATGTAAAAAATGTGGCAATTAGCCCCAGTCTCCTTTATTTATGGATTTATAATACTATAAATTGGAAATATTTTATCTTATAAAAATACATAAATGTACTGATAAACTTTTAAAAGATTGCGAAGAATAATTTTTCTTGATGAATAAATTAGTTTCTCATTTTATTTATTTATCATAACACATATTAATTCATCTCAATAATCCAAAAGAAATGAATAATACCAACGAACTATGATGGTATCTTTGTGGGGTTCATCCTTAAAACATGTTCTTATAGCGTTCAAATAATATTAATATTCTATATTTATTAGCAAACGTTAGAAGCTATGCATTGATATGATTAATTTTAAAGTAATGTGCAATAAATATTCAAACAATTTAATATAACGGACATTCTTGTGCTTTAATAGTAGTTATGAATATATAGAATAAATAATAGAACTTACGTTGATTTTACAACATTATAATATTATAACGCAATAGATATTACTTTACAGGAAGTTCAAAGGATGAATTTTTGAAAATAGCTTTTTTCGGAGGCTGAATGGTGTGGTTAAATACAGATATTTTTTTAATAAAAATTGTGCACAAAAATTTTTTCATATTTTATTTAGCTTATGAGATATATTGAAAAAAGCGACAACCTCTATATTTTTAAAGGTTTCACTCTTCTTTAGCTTTGACTGCGAATTTCTAAATTCATCTATTTACTTAGCCAATATTTACTTAGCTTATATTTATACCAAGCTTCATTAACCAGTTAACTGTGGCGATCACTTTGCAAAGCGCCCACCAGTGTGTGTCGCGAGAATCAAGCGAGTTAGCTCTCAGGAAGTTATAAATCCAAGTCAAATTATTTATAATTTTCATTTGTTTGTTTCATTTCGTCTTTACCTCTAAACATTTTACCCATATTAAAATTTACGAATATAATTTAGTTTTTGCCAGAATTACAATTTAAATATCAAATTGTATAAAATTTTACGTATGACGGATATAGTCGTCATTACACAAGATTCTGCCACATCTCCATGACAGATATAGTCGTCAAACACACTTAACTGGTTAAAATCAGAATTTTCGAGTTCACGAGGTTTCCTTGTCAGATAAAAACTAGATTCATGTAACCACTGTTATCATCAGCTTCATCCAATTGGTTTCTAAAGACAATTAGTCTACGAAGACAATAAATAAAAATTGGTAATAAAGTTAATAAATGTAAGTAATTTTTATAAATACAAAAACTACGATTTATATTTTAATTTCTTTCTTCATTTTCTATTTCCATTTCTTTCGTGAGAGGCCTGAGAGATCTATGTTATTTCAGCATCAAGATCGCGAGTGTTACTTTCAGAAGTAGTCCAGTGCAGAACGCGAAAAAAGTGACTTATTTTTGTATTTAAATTGTATTAAAGAAAACTACTGCATGCATTATTTTACGCTTATACATACATATTCACATATATTTAGTAAATAATTACAAATTTTTATATGGCTAAATATTAATTAGTTTTTATGTTATATTAATTTGGAAAAAATACGTTAACAGAAACATATATGTCGTTAGTGTGCGTGATTTTAGCCTTTCAACTCAACCGAAACAAAAAATTCAAAAAGATTCTTGACTGTTATGAGTGTGGCTATGGTATGAACTGGGACAAATATAAATTATTGTAAATTATTAAAATAGGGACGGTTTAAAAAAACAAATATCGACTTTTTAGACCAATTTTTTACTTTAATGGCTATAAAATATAGTTAATATATAGATATTGTGATATCCTAATTCATGCGATAAACAGATACGTATTTTATATGTAAGTAAAAATTCAAGTTGATCGGTTCAATGCTTCTTGAGAAATCACGTAAAATAAACTTGAAAAACTTGATTTCAAGAAAAACGCGTTTAAAACTGAAAGTACAGAATGATTATTTCTGGCTGTTTCTATTTTTTAAATTAATACCCTATTTTTTATGTAAAAGATTCTGAAATTTTATTATTTTTCATCAATCATTCCCTTTATTAAATGATTGGTTAAAAATTAAAACATTTCAATCCTATTCTTTTACACAAGAAATAATGTATTAATCTAAAAGATAGAAACGGTTAGAAATAATGGCTCGGTACTTCTGGTTTATAAATTTTTAGTGTTAAAGTTTCAAGTATAAATATAACAGAAGTAAGGAACCTCTTTACCTCTAATCGGCAATACCAGGGCTATAAAATAAATCCTCCTCTACTTCAAAATGCTCGTGTTTTTCCTATATTTCTAATTTACCAGAAATACGGACTTCCTTTGGCGCTACAGACGCTAGGATCGTTCAAGACGTTGCTCATTTTGCTTATTGACAAATAATTTCGTTTGTGGTCTAATAGTCCCATTCATCATTGCTAATATTTTCAAAAGTGGACGATAGCTTTAATTAAAAATACATGTAATTAAATATATTGCAATTTCAACAGTTTTTATAGCACAAAAGTATGTCCTTGCACTAAACAATCCCATTGGGATTTGCCCTTCTCAAATTAACATTTATGATGACCTTTTTAAACAACACATACAATCTGTCAAAGTATAGGCGAAAGACTATTTTATGCAAAAATACTTGTTCGGCGCAGCAGCTGCTTTCGAGTGCGTTCAATCAGAGTGTTAAATGGCTTAGGTGTCGCAACCAATAAATGCCTGTATTTTCATGATTTTTACGAATTCCAATAAAACCTTCCAGAAACTTATTTTTGAAACCTTAAATTTTTCAAAAATGAAAAAAAGAAAAGATCTGTTTTTGTGCTTCTAGACTAGACTGCTCCCATTAAATATCTTATATCCGCACTTATTATGTGAACATGATCGCTGGATATCAAAGGCAGAAAGAAGGTGCTAATCGTGAAATCGTGAAATCGAAACTTCGGGTATTCACCGGGTGATAACACAGATGTTTTTGCAAAAATAAAACGTGATATCCTCTAGCTGCTTCGAGCAGTTTATGTCACGAACGAAATACAGCCGTTCGATAGTACCGCCACCCGGCTGGCTCGTGATAGTTTTCATGCCTCCGAACAAGGATCTGGGTCAATTGGCTCTTTGAATTTGCGCCAATCAAAAAAATATAGTGCGTGTGCATGGCCTCGCGTGCGCGTGTGTAGCATCGCTCTGCATAAGTGATGACGACGACGACGTCGACGACGATGGCGACGATGATAACGATGATGTCAACGACATCGATGTAATCGAACGCTTTTAAGCGTTGATTACCCGACACGATGGATTCTCTCCATGTAAAGTATACGTATTTCTAGATTATTACGAGATCGTAATACAGCCGAGTCTCTCCAAGCAATCGAAATACCTTCGCGCGGTGTTTATTGGATTCCTTTGACATCCTTTGTAATATCTATTCGTGCCCCGATCCACATCCTTGTTCCTCTTTTGCATATCGTCTCGCGACTAAACCCGTTTGGAGCCGAAGCCGTTCGCGTATCGCAATTGGGAATGTATATATGATTCCCCAGTCGCGCTTACGCCGTCGCATTCTTTCTTTTTTCCCGCTTTCTTCTTTTTTACACGCGCGTGGAATAATTTGAATTTTAATCTCACCGCTCTTTCACTGCTTTCTCCGATCTGGAGAAACCTCGCCGTAACTTCGACCACGCGATTCGTCCGATCATCTTTCTCGCGTTCGCAAGACTCCCACGTCTATGTACATAGCGGATTTTACGACGATTCTTCGTGCGCGATGCCATTTTTATAACGGTGATAGAGATTGGCGTTGCGAGATTAATGCGCACAACGCACGAATAGCAGATTTCCCGTTGTCGACCTCAAAAAAGATACCGGTACCGTTTCAATCGAAAAATTTAAATAAAAATCCATCGTAAATACATTCGCTGATTTTTAACGACTTTCCGTTCACTTGTCGCATGCGTTCCACGTTATCGAGGTTAACAATTATATTTATAATATATGCAATTATGCATTATAATTTTTTACTGATATTGTGTCAAATTTTTCAACATTATTTTTATAGCAAGCTTTGCAAAGTTAGTTTATGGAATTTGAATTTTTTAAAAGAATATCTAGAAAAATGATCACGCCGCGTGAGTTGTGAGTGAGTTGTTTACACTCCATGACGTGATAACTGCAATATGCATATAGAATTATGACACTATATGATTATACGATATATTTTACATAAGTTATACTTAACCCCAGCTAGCCACACTTATTTTGGAAGCTTTAATTCACCACACTTAAATCTGTAAGATTACTCAATTTTGTCGTACATTATTATTTTTATTCTAATTAATATTTTTAAGCTTGTAATGTGGGAATTAGAAATATAGAATCAATAAAATGTTTATGATATCTATAATAAACAGAGTTCCAAAAAAATGTTTATAATATCAGGTTAAGGAAATGGTTTTGGTTTAAACTAAACTTATTAACTAAACTTATTATTAATTGCTTATAAATAATGTCAGTGTTATACTTTTCGTGTTAGTTTTTTATATACCATGTTTTAATATATTCACCTTGTGTTAAATCAACGTAAAAATTTACGTAGACCGTTTGAGACGTGTGAAATGTGTTAAATTTAATACAAAATTTTTTCTATCTAAAAAACCGAAAAACGTTCAGCGTCCATTGGACTGGAATGTAGCGAACTAGATTTCAATAACGAAAATATGAAACGGTCTAAATGGAAAGTTTAATGTGGGGTACATACGACCCAAGCGGCAGGGAACGTGTTAATTAGAATCAGCCTCGCTCTCTTTCCGTGTGTATGTATGTATGTGTGTGTATGCGTGCACACAAAGTTGAAGAGGAATCGATCGTAAAAATTAACCCAAGAATTCGATATCCTGATGACGTAAAATGCAGCGCGGCGGCGCGCACATTAACGAGGAGAGCTCACGACCCAAATGCAGTTTAATCACAACCGTAATTGCGCTCCGCGTCTCAAATCGCTTGCGCGCGCGCGACCGCCCGCCCGCTTTGTTCGCCGGTGGTCTGTCTGATTTCCCGGTGGAGGCCCGGCATCTCGAATTTCGACTTTTGTGGCAGGATCCTAATAATCGCGACGGCTCCATAAATCACGGCCGTAGACGCGCGCATATACGCTGCCCGGAGTGATTTGTGGGTTCGATGCGGGCTGCGCGAAACCGCTTACTTCCGCACGAACCGAATTATAAGAATTATTGCCTGTCCTGAATGGCAAATTGGCGGCGATATAGATTTTATCGCCGGCACATCGCTCCCGCGATGGCCACTTTCGCGGTGCCACTTATGCGCCGGAATGTTTCGAGTTTCGAGTAACGAGTGCACCACACACGCATTCACACATACACACGTTCTGTCTCCCTCTCGCTTATGCATATCCGGCCGTACGATCCGCATACGGGCCGTTAATTACGGCTCGTATTCAACGCGGCCGATAATGCGCCGTAAGCATACGACGTGTCGCGAAACCGCGGTATTAGTATAGTATTAATTACGTTCATTGCCGCCCGTATGCAACAATAATTACGCGCAGTTATCGGTGCGCGCTCGCGCACTTTCGCTTCGGTTCCGACTCGGTGATTTACTCGCGTCGCGTCGCGTCGCGTTAGCGTCGCGTCGCATCGCCTCATATCATCACGTCTGCGAGCTGCATTCGCGGCTATAAAATTAATCTGTAGTTATCGTTCCGGGGGTCCTGTCGGTGAATGGTAACCGAGATATATCTTGCGGAACACCGTCCTATAAGTTACACACACCCGATATCGACGTGGCGTTCGATAAATAATAATTTAGCGATACGCCACCACCGCCGTCCGTGCGGTATTATTTGCGACCGTATTAATTTATGGTTATTAAACTAATTTACAGTTGCTTAACGGTAATCGAGATATAGTAGTGAGTTCGTCGGACTGGCCAGTCGCATCTTCGTGTTTTGATATCCCGGGTGTTATCGATTAATAATACCGTCGATAAATAACACATCTCGTTCTACAAGTACAATATTCGCGCGGAATCCGGCCGAATTCTCGCCATGGAGAATTAATAGCAGATCGTAGATTAGAGGAAAAGCGACAAAATTGACGTAGGTATGATAAATCGTCATGTTTCTCGGTAAAGTACTGAACTCTGTCAGACAGAATATGAACTTCGTCTACTGTGTACAATAATATACAGTTAGTACACACACACACACACACATACATATATATATATATATATATTACGCCGCTCGTTCTTCAAATGATATCGGCGTAACTAAATATATAAATTATTTTTTTAATTCAAATTATTTTTGAAATCTAAGTTATTTTGGAAACATCGGAAACTCGCGTCTTTCTTCATTGTTGTTCGTGCAGCGTACGCGCATGAATGCAATCCTTATGGATTGCGAGATCGTTCAACAACCTTCGCGATTGTTATTCCGCTCGGGCGACGTTTCCACACCTTTTGTCTAAGTATACGATTGTGAAACGTATGAATTATAATGTTATCACATTGTCGATAAGCCGGTGTTTCAATCGCACTGTGTGATCGCGAGCGCAATCGCCGTCATACTACGTGCGGAAATTCGATAATTCGATTTTATTACAGGAAAATTCACGTTTCGCGTTCATAAGATTTTATTCCTGGCTCTAAGCCGAACTCCCGACTGGAGTGCGTTTTGGTATTATATAATGTTCTTACGTGATGCAACGATCATACTCGTGATAATGAAAGCGGTCTGACTTGAATCACGCGTTGTATACCGAAGTGATAAAATTTGGTCGAATTTTTTGCGTCAAAGAATATCTCGCAAATAATTCGACGAGACTCTCCTATACTTTTCCGCAGCGAAAATTTTTTAGAACCTAATTGCAATGTAGTCCGATTTCCAAAATAATTACGGATCCTAAACGGTAAAAAATTTTGTGTTAAAAACAGTCCACCGAAATTTTGCATTATTTTAACATAGGGAATGTAAAAAAATACACAAATATATGATAAAATATACACAAATATAACATTAAATTAACACATTTCCTAATCTGATATAACTACGTTTATTAATTTCCTAATCTGATATCCGGTCAAACTGTTACTCGACTTTAGCAATGATATTCGCACCCGGCACGAAATAAGTTGCAGCGCATAACCAGTCAGCATCGCGGAAAAGAGATTTCTATGTTTAGGATAAAAATAGGATTTCCAATTTGTATCGTAATGTGATAACCTATTTTAAACAATTCTGGTTGTTCTAATCGAAATCCGTGTGGTATGTGGGAAATCCGGGGAAATTTCTATGCAGGTTGCTTATAACGAAACGGAAATCGAGCGCGCGGTCGTCCCAAATTTCTCGTAA